AGGTTCGAGGTATCATATAATCTTCATCCTCGAAGATCTCCTGCTCCTTTGATGGGGCCGAGGCCGGTGCCTGTGATTGCTATTTGACTTCTTGCTTTCCCTTTGACTCTAATCCCTTTGTTGATGAAAGCGTCGATACTGGTACTACTTTATCGATTGCAAACATCTCTTTGGCGGAGGGTTATTCGTCGTACACCGTTTTGATTCCTTCCGACATTGGAATTTCAAGACTTGATGAAGCATTGGAGATACTGCCCTCATATTATTAATCCAATGTCTTCCGAGTAGCGCGTTGTATCTCATGTCACCTTTTATTCTATGGAACTTTGTTTCTTGGATAGTCCCGACCACATTTACTGGCAAAATAATTTCCCCTTTGGTGGTTTCACTTGCCATGTTGAAGCCGTTGAGTACTCGAGCTGCAGGCATGATTTGATCTTGGAGACCGAGTTGCTCTACGACCCTCAATCGAGTAACGTTTTCCGAGCTACCTGGATCAATCAACACACATTTAACTTGAATTTTATTCATAAGGATAGATATTACCAGCGCGTCGTTGTAAGGCTATTCGATCCTTCTGCATCCTCATCATTGAAAGACAAGGAATCTTCTGGTATATAGTCCCGAGTATGTTTCTCCCTTGTGATTGTCACCTGGGTGCATTTAAATATTGGGCCTTGAGGAATATCGACCCCACCAACGATCATATGAATCACGTGCTGTGATTCCTCTTGTTTGTTTTTCTTGTTTGCATCTGTGTCTCTAAAGTGATTTTTAGCTCGGTCACTCAGGAACTCTCGAAGGTGACCCTCCTTGAACAAATGGGCTACCTCATCCCTTAACTGTCTGCAGTATTTGGTTCTGTGACCATAGGTTCCATGGTATTTGCACATTTGATTAGGGTTCCTTTGAGCTGGATCGGTATGTAGGGGTTTGGGCTACCTAGTATCCTTGATCATCCAATGGCTGATACAATACCCGATGCATCGATGCTGAAGTTCTATTCTGATAATTGTGGCGCTTCTTTAAGCTCAACATGTTTATCGAATCCACTCTTACTCATGATCCCTCGGGAGTTTTATCCTCGATCATTCCTTCGATCATTTTGAACGGGATTACGTCTCGGTTCGTTGTTTCTACAATCTGCGCTGTATGGTTGGTACCGATCTTTTTTTGACCGGGGCTCTCTATCGATGTCCCTTTGAACTCTACCATCAGATCTATTTGGGTAGACGAAACCGGAAGGAGCTCCTAACTGATCATCCTCCACCCTGATCTTTGACTGGTATCGGTTATGCACATCGGCCCAGGTCACAGTTGGATATTCAATCAAATTCTGCTTTAGTTGTCGTGATGCTATCGAACTTCGCTCGTTCAAACCTTGAGTGAAGGCTTTGATAGCCCAATCATCGGTGACCAGGTGTAGGTCCATGCGTTCCATCTGGAACCGAGATACGAATTCCCTTAGCATTTCATTGTCGTTTTGTCTCACTTTGAAGAGGTCCGACTTCCTAGTCACGAACTTTATTACTCTGGCGTGTGCCTTTATGAACCAATCAACAAGCATGGCGAAGGAATCAATGGAGTTGGGCAGCAAATTGTGGTACCATATCATTGCCCTCTCCGATAAAGTTTCTCCAAACTTCTTCAATAGAACAGATTCATTTTTCGTCATCTTCTAAGTCATTTCTTTTTATTACGCATGTATAAGAAGTGACATGCTCATTAGGATTAGTGGTTCCATTGTATTTGGGAATATCTGGCATGTGGAACTTCTTTAGAATGAGTTTCGGGGCCGCACTTGGAGGGAAAGGCTTCTGCACAAACTTCTTCGAATCTAAACCCTTTAGAATCGAGGGTGCCTATGATATTTGGTTAACCCGTGAATTGTACGTTTCCACCTTGTCATTAACCTCGATTTTCTTTTCTCCCGATTCGATCTGTTTACTGAGCTCCTCGAGCATCTTCATGATGGCGGGGTCAGTTCCCGATCCATTACGTTCGATTTTTCAGGTACAGGTTCGACACTATGAATAACTTCCTGTGATGTATCGAGTTTAATTCTGCTTGGTGCTCGATTCTGATTTTGGAGATGTGCTATCACAGCTTGCTGAGTCTACGACATTTCAAATATCATTTAAAGGATAATCCCGCCTTCTTTACCGCTCTGTGTGTTTTGATCGGCTGTCCATGCATCTCTGTGGACGCTATTTTCAGGTTCGGTGCCTAAATTTTCATGAATGACAACATGAGAACTGACAATGACTGGATCTATGGCTGGTGGTACATCGGGATTGACTGGAGGTACTCCGTTTCCCGAGGCGACTATGTTCTCATTCTCGCCATGAAGACCAATGCCGGTGTCTGTGTGAGTAGGTGCTGCTTGAGAGTTTGAAATATTGATTCCTGAAATCAAAGACACTTACGAGAACAAGCGTAAAATAGTGTGTGTTATGAGGATTAATATTAGGCAATCACTATTATCCTTAGCCCTACGGTGGGTGCCAAACTGTTTACCTTAAAAATTGGATAACAATTACACTTATAATGCGGTTTTAAGGACACGTGAATTTTACCTAATACCAATTGATAAATGTAGAAATTAGCAGTAAAGATTAACAATAAGATAAAGCAAACCAGTCCTGAAACGTGATTCAGTCCTCGAGCTTAAGTGTCCTCGAACTGATCGGTGCCCAAAACAGTTAAGAAGCAAACTGATGAACAAGAATGTAAGCTAGAAAGTATCGTATTGCTTTGATATACGTGAATGTAAGATAGTTACAAGATAGATTAGGACCCTCTTTATATAGTAGAGGAATCCTATTTATGGTACAATTCTAATTATGAAAGTAAATCCCTTGATTAACTAAATAACCGCCCTTGATTTGATATGTTCGGAGATTTACGCCATGATCTTCGGTCAGTCTCAGATATCTCGCCTTTCCTTTATTGTGTTTTGCTCAATGTCTGTCTCTTTTGGTCTTAATCGCTACTGGCCTCGATCTTCGATAAGTGCCTCGGTCCTCGAACTCGATGCCTTATCCTCGTACCTCGGTCTAGTCCGTTGCGAGGCCTACTTTTGACGCAATTCCCTAGCCTCGATCAAACAGTAAAATCGGATAGGCCCGGTTTTAACAGTACACAAACAATCAAGACAAAATATAGAAAAACGCGTGGAGTGGACAAGACGCAATTTTCAGTTTTTCAAGTCCAAACTTTTACTTAACGCATGTAGAGAAATGCTTCTAGTGTTTGTCTTTGTTCAGAGACGACTCAAGTCAGCAGAGTCAAGTCAGTACGTATGACACTTTCCTCACGGCAACACTTTCATCCATTCCATTGCAAGGACTGAGGACCGAGGAGTACTAATGCCTTGTCATAGTCAATTTAGTTACAGCAATGCAGAAGGCAATAGGAATTTCCCTTGAGGCTATGACTTTTGTGTATGGTAGAAAATAGTAGTAATACTGGTCTTCCTACTCAATAGTATAAAGCCATAACGCTAGAGGAAGCAACCATTCATCCCTAACTTTGTTTTCTTTCCTTTGATCCCCTTTTCATTTTTCCCTCTTTATTTTCTGTCTCCTTTTTTTTTATTACTCTGCTAGAAATTATGGCTGTATTATCTATGAGGGTATTTTTATGTGGAGGTGGATTTCACAAAAGAGAAGAGAAAAAGAAAAAGAATAGTAGTGTGCGATTGGGTGGTAAAAGGCCAGTGGAAAGGCTAGAGAGCAGCATAAGCAGTAAAGCTCTATTGATGTTCAAAATGATATCTTGGAGGAAAATGAAACATGATGATGATCAATTAGTAGAATGGGAAGACGAAAATGCACTGTGGAAGAGAACTATTATTAAAGGAGAAAAGTGTCGCCCTTTGGAATTTTCTGGCAAAATTTCTTATGATGCTAATGGGAATCTTGTGTTGGACTGATTGATGAATTCTTCACTTCAACTTCTGCCGACTTTTTTCTCTGTTACTCTGCCTTAGGAGCCGTGAGTGTGAATACTGAGTTGGAGACTTTAATTTACTCAAGGGTAAAAAGGACTAAAGGTAGATTATGAGTCTAGTACATGCAAATTTGTGGTTTGGAATTTCCTTCATTATAATTTGTGGTATTTGCAGCTATATCAACCAAACACACCCCTAAAGTTTCATTATCATTTCTTTGGATGAAACCAAAAACTTACCATGGTATATTATTAGCTTATTATCTAATAACTGAGCTAGACAGGAACATGTTTCATCTGACGAGTCTGTTGGCCTATTTTCGCCCACTGAAGCAAACAATCGTTAGTGTCTCACTACCTTTGTGCCCACCAAAATCTTATCTTCTAATTAATCTCTTCTTGATTTCCATTCCCAGCTTCTGTTTCATCTCACTCCTTGACCTAGACAAAACCAACGAAAAAGATCTAAAAGGATAATTGTCCTTTAATTTTTATTTTGTCCTTCAACAGACACTTTAAGCTCCTAAAATCAAACTTTCTAAACGCGAACGGCCAACACAAACCTTTTCTCTTTTCTTATTTTTCTTCTATGCCATTATTGATAAAGATATATTCCATGTGTCCTAATTTGTTTGTTGTAAATTTAGCACAACACTAACACTAAGCTTAAAAAAATAAGAGCCATTTGGACACAGGACAGATATAAAGTATCACAAGTGTCCTCGTACCAAATAATTTGTTCTTTGTACTCAATTGACAAACCACGTCAATTGCAAAATGGGAAGGTAAAACTATTTTAATGTCTTAAATATGAAAAATGTTAATCTTTACTGTAAAAATAAAAAAGAAAATGTTGCCAAAATAAATTGGGACAGAGAAGAAAAACCAAAATAGAAGTGGTATGGATGAGGGCTACATCCACTATTAAGAGTATAGGCGTCATCCTCCTTGACGAATGGTCTCAAATCTCAATCCTCAACTCTCAACCAAATTAAGACAACCTTATCTTCCTAATTTACATTTATAATCCTTTTGCTAACACAGAAAAATTAAACAACACAATCAATACATATAACAACACTACCACCAAATAAACAGATGGTTCCATTAAAGAAAAATTAAAGGCAAGCAGAAGGACCTGTGAAACTATATGCAATTCTTGAAACTAAATTTGACCTTATCATCTGTACTTCACAAATCACAACCAAACCAAAACAAAAAAAGTTAAGAGCTGCAAACCAAGCAAAAAAACTAATTAACTGCCATAACTGGAATTCGGCATACAAAGATCCATAATTTTCTCAGCCACCTCTGTTTCATCTCTGCTTTCTTCTACCAGCTTCTGAACTAAAGTCCTCGGCAGCTTCATCTTCAACTGAATAGGTCCATTATTCGGCTTCAAAATCGACAAATCAGAAGCCGATCTTCGTGTTAACATGAGACACTCGAGCCGATCCTTTGCACTCATCTGAACAGCAGATTTCACTCTTCTTGGAACTCTACGATTTTCTTCTTTAGGAAACAGAGGCAATTCTACAAGGAAATATATTTTGTTTGGCTTCAGTTCTTGTTCTGGTTCCAGTGGCTTAGCTCTCACACCAAATTTCTTCGCTGCTTCTGATTCCAGTAAAACATGACCTGGGTAGTCTTTTACTACGTCCGAGGTTGTTACTGGTGTTTTCAGTTTCAAGATTTCGCCGTTAATCTTCATCACCTTTGTCTTCTTCTTATTTCCTCCAATGTTGTTCCCCATTCTTCTTCTTTTTTTTTCTTTTTCCTCTAGAGAATCTTGCTTTTTTGGTATTATGGTTCTCCACTTATATTTTGGTATATAATTATATGGACAAGTAACTAACCTTTTCTTAGTGCGTGTGCGTGTGAATTTGTGGAAATGTACTAGAAAAGGTTCCTTTGGTGGATGTTGCATATTTAACTAAATCCAATATTTTCAAACACAAAAAATAGATATATAAGCAAAAAATCATTAAAATGTTAAAACTGAATCTATAATTTCAAACGCGTGGTAAATTGGACGATAAACTTTTTAAAAATTAAACCCATCAAATTTGAGCTTGAATTTGACTCCGATTATGGTAGTAATTTATTTAAAGGTTCCACTAAAACCATAATACTACTTTTGAATAATACTAAAGGTGCTTTCACAGGTAATGTACTCTGTGTGTGTGATGATTGTACCTTATTATGGCAAGAGATATTTTTTTTTGAGGAAGAAGTGGGAAAGGGGTAACTCAATTCCATTACGACAAATTTTTATCTGAACTGAATGGGAAGCAAGAAACGAAATGAAAAGAGGTTAAGCCTACTTTTTGTAATATATTCACATTGGAGGAGCAGTGGGAAGTTGGATTTTCTTTGGTTTTGTGATAATCAAGGCTGGTGGGGCTATGCTTTATTGGCGTGGTCTCATTATTGGATAAGGACGTATAGGTATGGAGTGTGGGAGGATTAAGTATATAATTTAAGTTTTGTATACTTACATAATATTTTTTACACCATTAATTCAAGTTACTTGTAGGAAAAAGTTTATAAGAAATGATTTATTATAACATATATTAAATTATACGAATAATATTTTTTAAAAAACTGTACGGTTAATGCGTATAATTAGACCTTTAAATTGGATATAACCAGCCTTACCGTTATAGATTAGTTGTCACAAAGTCCTAACCAATTTGCTATGAAGATGTGGACAGCAGTGTTTTTGAGTGATTCCAAATTCAAAGTCGTAATCCTCATTAATTTGGTGTGTAAATTAAGGAGATGCTTGCTTTTGTCACTAAAAAATTTAAAAATTTAGACGGTCTGCTTTCATAGAAAAGGTCGAAGGAGGATAAGATCTTTCAGTTGGACATGCTTGCTATTTAAATTAAAGTAGAACTTTATGCGTCAGAGGGAGAAACTCTCATCCATCACTGCAAACAATCAATGGAAAACCCACCCAAATCACCAAACATACCACTAGAATTACTGTCATGTAGGGGTGTCAATAGTTCGGTTCGGTCGGTTATTTTATAAAATTTGTACCATACCAATTTTTCGGTTATTCTATTATGTATAACCAAAATTCGACTTTTCGAAACCGTCCCAATCATGTCGGTTTCTCTTTGGTATCGGTACGGTTCGGTTAATTTTCGGTATTTTTTTTAATGTCATGTAAAATTCACCAGTAGAAGTAGAATTGCAATAACGTACGTTCTTTTATAGGACTTAGCAAAACTCTCTAGACATTTTTACTGTTTAAAGGGTGATGAATTAAAAAAAAAGAAATATGGCTAGAGTATAGATCCATCAACTATTCTACAACAGCGTAAAAGAAATCAAACAAAGGCAAAGAAAATATTAATCACACGAGTTGAAGATATACCAAGCTAGGACTCAAGAATAAAGTCTATAGAAGATTAAGTATTCAAAAAGATAAAACTAAATTATATGAAAGGAAACATATTCAATATATTGTAGTTTGTTACTCATAATTGCTAGAATACTTTGTGTCTTGCTAATAAAGATACTTGGAATAACTTAGTTTAAGTAGAATTAGCATAATAGGTTTTAGGAATTAGTATTTTGAGTTTAATTACTTGTTGACTTGTAATAGTTTTCATAATTCCAAGGCCCAAAGAAAATTTTATGCATTATTATTTTTAAACTTACTAAATAAATATATTTTCTACATGTAAAATTTATTCGGTACGGTTCGGTTTTTTTTTCGGTTTATTTTTATAAAATAAAAAACCTACCCTAATTATCGGTGCGGTTATAGATTTATATAAAAACCTACGGTTTTTTTAAAAAGAAACCTAAAAATCGGTTCGGTGCGGTACGGTTCGGTCGGTTTAGTCGGTTTTCGAATATCTATTGACACCCCTACTATCATGGAAGAAGACACAACTCAATCCCACTCCTACAAGAAAATACTACTAGATAAGCAAAATACTACACAAGCGGATTACTTCGCTTCAGAAATTCAATACACCTTAACGCAACAAAAAGGAAATGAAACAATAGGTCATATCATGCTTTCTCAAGAGGATAAAAATAGGCTATATGAACCATGGCGTTACTCAGTCATCATAAAACTCTTTGGAAAGAAAATGCCACACTATCTCCTCCGATCTAAACTAGTTGACTTATGGAACCCATACGAACAGTTGATCTTGATCGACCTAAGATGAGATTTTTCCATAGTCAAATTTGGTAAAGAGGAGAATCTAGTGAAAGCTATACAAAAAGGACCATGGTTTATCTCAGGAAACTTCCTCTCAGTCAGAAGATGGGAACCCAAATTCGTCCCACAAGAAGCGACTCTATCCTTCACTGCAATTTGGGTAAGACTACCATAACTACCCACTGAGTTTTATGATAAGGAGGTCCTAGAAAAAGTAGGCAGAAAACTAGGAAAACTCCTAAAAATTGATACGTACACTGTAAAGCTTCGATTTGCACCAGAAATCAAAGAAGAAATTGTACATTAGGGCTTGAGAGAAGAAGGAACAAAGAAGAACAGTAAAAACTGAATTCCTTCGCTACTGAAGGTTCTGGAGTTTTATATTTTTATATACAAGGGTAAAAATGTAAATAGCTAATGCTAATTATATGGGCTGACCCGACAGAGTGTGGGTTGCTAAGCCCAATACAAATAAATACACTTCAAACTTCTGCATTTACTATGTAACTCTAACACCCCCCCTCAAGTTGGAGGGTGGGCACACACCCAACTTGACAGCCAAAGAATGATGAACTCCACCTGTCAAGCACTTGGTAAAAATGTCAGCCAACTGGGAATTAGTAGAAACATGATGTAAAGAGATCAAACCATCAGCCAACTTGGTTTGGATAAAGTGACAGCCAACCTCTATATGCTTGGTGCGCTCGTGGAAAATAGGGTTCTTGGCTATGTGAATGACAGCTTGATTGTCACAGAAAATAGGGAGAGGAGTGGAGACTTGTAAGCCCAAGTCGGACAACAAACGGACCAGCCAAGACAACTCAACAACAACTTTGCTCATGGCCCTATATTCAGCCTCAACGGAGGATAAAGAGACCACCTGCTGTTTCTTGGACTTCTAACTAATAAGACTACCACCTAGGAACACACAAAAACCACTAACAGAACGGCGAGAATCAGGGCAAGCAGCCCAAACACTATCACAGTAGCAAACCAAAGAACAATCAGCAGAATCATTAAGAAATAGACCAACATCAGAAGTCCCCTTTAAGTAGCGTAACAAATGTAAAGCAACAGCCATGTGAGGGACTCTAGGTGTTTGGAGAAACTGACTAAGGTGTTGGACATCGAAGCAAATATCAGGGCGAGTATGAGTAAGAAAATTAAGTTTCCCTATGAGGTTGCGATATGTGTCAGGTCTGAGCAGAAAGTCACCAACATCAGAATGCAACTTATCATACAAATCCAATGGACATACAACAGAAGAGACATCAGAACAATCAAAATCGACAAGTAAATCAGAAATGAACTTTTGTTAATACAAAAGGACACCAGAAGAATGATAATGAATCTGAATACCCAAGAAATAATGGAGAAGCCCAAGATCCTTTATTCAAAATTGGTCATCCAGAAAACTTTTCAAGGCAGCAATTTCAAGCATATCATCCCCTGTTAGAATGATATCATCTACATATACAGCGAGAAACACAGTAGACTGAGGTGATTTCTTCATAAACAAGGAGTAATCATTTAAAGAATGGCTATAACCTCTAGAACAAAGAGCATGAGACAATTTAGCATACCATTGGCGAGAAGCCTGACGCAAACCATACAAAGATTTATTCAATTTACAAACCAAAGTATGAACAGTAGAGTCAGAAGCAACAGACAACACTAGGGGGAGTTTCATGTACACCTCTTCATCCAAATCACCATGTACAAAGGCATTATTTGCATCCAATTGGAACAAAGACCATTTCTGTTTAACGGCATAAGCTATAAGACATCAAATAGTACACATTTTGACGATAGGAGAAAAGGTTTCATGAAAATCAATACCCTCTATTTGTGTGTCTCCCCGTACGACTAGCCTAGCTTTGTATCTTTCCACACTACCATCAGCTTTATATTTTTGTACATCTATTTACAACCAATTGGCTTCTTACCTTTGGGTAGTTCTACAATATCCCAAGTCCCATTAGCTTTTAATGCCTCAAATTGTTTCCTCATGGCTTCTTGCCAAGCTGGATTGGCAGCAGCCTGAGCATAAGAGTGAGTCTCAACTGCTGCATGTTGAGCAACAGAAGTGGAGGCAGTAGAGGAGCAAAAAATAGAAGGGGGAAGTTGAACTACATAATTTTGAAGATGAGAAGGGAGATGATGACTTCTAGTAGACTTTCTGACTACAGGGAAAGGTGAAACAGGAGTTGGTGAAATAGGAGCTGGTGAATTAGAAGTAGGAGAAGAAGTGACAGATGGAAAAGGAAAGAAATAAGAAGGAGAAGAAGGAGGATCAAAGGAAAACTTAGAGGTAGATTCATCAAGATAAGAAGGGAAACCAGGAGGAAAAAGAGAGGAAGGAGAGGGAGAGGAAGAATACTGGAGATGGAGGGGAAAAATAAACTCATGAAAGAGGACATCTCTGGAGACAAAAGTAGACTTATTCTTAAGATTGTAAAGCTTGTAGCCTTTTTTGCCAAAAGGATAACCAAAAAAGACATAAGGGACAACCCTAGGTTGAAATTTATCCCTATGACACTTGGGCACACTTGCATAACAAAGGCAACCAAAAGTTTTTATATGACTATAAGAGGGTGCTTTGCCATAAAGAATTACATATGGGGATTTGTTAGATAAAACAGAGGAAGGAAATCTATTTATAAGATAAGTGGATGTTAAAACATAATCCCCCCAAAATTTTGTTGGAAGTTTGGATTGGAACAATAGAGCTCTTGATGTTTCCAGCAAGTGTCTATGTTTCCTTTCAATAACCCCATTCTGTTGTGGTGTATGAGGGCATGTAGTTTGGTGCAGGATCCCATTATCAGAAAAAAATTGGCACGCTAAGTTTGAAAAACCAAGCTCCAAGGCATTATCACTTTTGATTGTTTGAACAGAAAGATTAAATTGTGTTTTAACCATGGAGATAAAAGCTTTAAGTAAAGAAAAAGCATTGCTCTTGGAACTCATTAAATGTGTCCAAGTGGCCATATTAAAATCATCTACAATTGTCAAAAAATATTTAGCACCAGAATAAGTTTGGATATGATAAGGCCCCCATGT